GCTGCCCTAGATGGACTTTGGGGTCCTGCTGGAGGACCCATAGAATTCCCCCTATATAAGCCTTGGAAGCCCCCTAGATGAGCTTTGGAAGCTGCCCTAGATGACCCATAGAACTCCCCCGAGATGAGCCATAGAAGCCCCATAGATCAGCCCTGGAAGCTGCCCTAGATGGACTTTGGGGTCCTGCTGGAGGACCCATAGAAGGCCCCCTAGATGAGGCTTGGAAGCTGCCCTAGATGACCCATAGAAGTCCCCCTAGATGAGCCTTGGAAGCCCCCTAGATGGACTTTGGGGTGCTGCTGGAGGACCCATAGAAATCCCTCTAGATGACCCATAGAAATCCCCCTAGATCAGCCTTGGAAGCTGCCCTAGATGGTCCTATGGGTCCTGCTAGATGACCCATAGAAGTCCCCCTAGATGACCCATAGAACTCCCCCTAGATGAGCAATATAAGCCCCATAGAACTCCCCCTTGATGACCCATAGAAGACCCATAGAAGTCCCTCTAGATGACCCACAGAACTCCCCCTAGATGACCCACAGAACTCCCCCTAAATGACCCACAGAACTCCCCCTAGATGACCCATAGAAGCTGCCCTAGATGACCCACAGAAGCCCCCCTAGATGACCCACAGAACTCCCCCTAAATGACCCACAGAACTCCCCCTAAATGACCCACAGAACTCCCCCTAGATGACCCATAGAAGCTGCCCTAGATGACCCACAGAAGCCCCCCTAGATGACCCACAGAACTCCCCCTAAATGACCCACAGAACTCCCCCTAAATGACCCACAGAACTCCCCCTAGATGACCCATAGAAGCTGCCCTAGATGACCCACAGAAGCCCCCCTAGATGACCCATAGAACTCCCCCTAAATGACCCATAGAAGCCCTAGATGCACCTTGGGGTCCTGCTGGGTGACCCCCAGGGGCCCAAGAGACAATCCGTGGGGTGGGATGGATGACCCACGGCTCCCCCCAGCTCTGCCCTTCGAGGATTCCCCATTGAATGCCAGAAAGTGTGGGGCAGAAGCCAAAGCTCAGACCCCTAACTCTGACCCCCAACCTTAAGGTCTAACCCCAAGGCCTGACCCCCAACTTGAAGGCCTGACCCCCAACTCGAAGGCCTGACCCCTAACCCCAACTCGAAGGCCTGACCCCTAACCAAGAACCTTAAGGCCTGACCCCTAACCCCTAACACAAACTCCTGACCCCCAATGCCTGACCCCTAACACAAACCCCTAACCCCCAATGCCTGACCCCTAACACAAACCCCTGACCCCCAGTGCCTGACCCCTAACCCGAACACAAACCCCTAACCCCTGATCTCTAACTCTAACCCCTAACCTTAAGGCCTGACCTCTAACGCCTGACCCCTAACACAAACCCTTAAACCCTAACCTCTAACCCTTAACCATTAAGGCCTGACCCCTAACACAAACCCCTGACCCCCAATGCCTGACCCCTAACCCCCAACTCGAAGGCCTAACCCCTAACTCTAACCCCCAACCCTAACACAAACCCCCCACCCTAACGCCTGACCTCTAACCCTAACCCCTAACGCCTGACCTCTAACCCTAACCCCTAATGCCTGACCTCTAACCCTTGTCTCTAGCTCTAACCCCAACCCAACGCTAGTGCCTAACCCCTAGCCTCTAACCCCCAACCCTAACGCCTGACCCC